CCACCACGCCCATCTTGGACAATTGTTAATAGACTGGAATGTAGTCTAATGTATTTGGCCAGGTTGAATTATATTAACCCTTTTATAATTTCTAGGTTTGTAATAATAGACTGGTCAGGACTTTTTATAGGTCTTTGAGAGTTTCAGGATTAAATCTAGACCAGATTGTAGAATATGGCCCAGAGATAAGTGAAGGTCAGCTTTACTCTGGAATGGTCCCAGGGAGGGGAAAAACACCATTTTCAAAACTTGATCTTGAAATCTAGCAGCCACAGAGGGGAGAATGGCCTTAGACTAAATACTGCTATAAACTGTATTTTTCAGGGGCATGACAATGGAAAAGAGACAGAAAAGTGATTCTAAGTGTGGTACAAGAATTAAATCTTAACCACCTCAAAGGCAGAAAGAAAAGATCAAGAGCCTTCTCAGGGTGGGTCTCTAATCTCTGGCAAAACATGTCTCTAGAGCTAGGGATTTAGCTCAGGGGCACCACACCGGCCTTTCAAATTCAAAGTCCTGAGTTCTGCATTGCCAAGCAGAAAATTAAACCAATAATCAAAAGAACCCAAATGGCTGCTTTTTAATCTTTTGAAAGAGAGTGTGAAAGAGAAAATGAAAGGGCACTTTGGAAGTGCTCCAATTATATTGTTTAGGTCTTATTTTTTAATAAATGACTGAATCAAAAAGTTTTAAAATCCCAGCCTGTAAAAGAGATCTAGCACCTCTGGGGACAAATAGAGACAGGTAATAACAGTGTAGAAGTGATTTCATCCCTGGGCCTTAGGACAAAGAGGTCTCTGGGACATTTTGGGTTCTCTATCTAATCACCTAGGCAATTTCTCTCCATAGCGGTACTGGCTAGGCTCTATTTAAACCTCTTCTGAAAATACATATCTCCTGGTATTTGTAATACACTTAAGAAACTCACAAATTAAAGTCTGTACCCATAGTCTAGCAATCACAAATGTTAATAAAGACATGTTTATCAGCTTTTCTTCTTTCACACATATATAACAGCATATGTAAGGCACAAGTGTAGAATGCTCTTTTCATAGCTATTGTCTTGTGTTAAAAGTAAACAGTTTTTGTGAGCTGCCTCAGCCTGACCTCCTGGAGGGGAGGGAGATCTGCTTTTGTTTATAATGTGGTTGTTATGGCTAGTGTTTAGATGTCACCTCAAAGCCTCATTCAGTCATAGGCGGAGCTTTTTCAGAGGTGGCTGGATCTAGAGTGCGCGACACTAGAAGTGATTCATGGTGCAATGCTAGAATCAAAGGTACTGGGATTAAGAGTTTTGTTTTATTTTATTTTTTTTTATTGAGTTTATTGGTACATTTTAGGCATACAGTACAGTTACACTCATTATTGGGATCTTGTACCTTTACTTGACAGGTCTTGGTTCTCACTTTTGGGATTAAGAGTTTAAATGCTACCTGCCCTAAGTAGCCTGAATAAAAGATAAGGGACAGAAAGAACTGTCTTCATACCTTGTTGCTTTGTCACCTTCTGCCCTCTGTTTTTCCTCTGTGATGCCACACTGCCTTTCAGCCATCTGATTATGGACAAAACATCTACAAACTATGAGCTAAATAAACCTTTCTTTAACTTTGGGTGTTGGGTATTTTATCTCAGCAACAAGAAAAGTAAGACAATGGTCCAGTGAGTCAAGGAGCTTTAACGCTAACTCCTAGTGATTTGGACTGAAAAGGAAAGTCAGGGGGTTTCTCCTGTGGGGTGTTTTTTGTTTTGTTTTTACCAGAGATTGAGCTCAGGACCTTGTGTTTGTAAGGCAGGCAGCAGCACCACTGAGCTAAAACCCTGGGCCTGGGTGCTTCTTTCTTAATTTATTTTTATTTTTTTGGTATCAGGGACCAAACTTGGGCCCTTGCACTTGCAAGGCAGACAGCAGAACCACTGAGCCAAATCCCTGGCTTCTCTCTTAATTTATTTTTTATTTTTATTTATTTATTTATTTATTTTTGGTACCAGGGATTGAACTCGGGTCCTTGCGCTTGCAAGGCAGGCCACCGAACCGCTAAGCTAAATCCCCGGCCCTTCTCTCTTAATTTAAACATTTGTCCTAGCAAAACTTTTTCAGGGAATCTAAAGAGTTATTGTTTTCACCTGTTTTGGGCCCCATGAATATATCAAGACATATCTGAAGAGGGGTACTATCTTACTAGCAGAAAGAGAAAAGTCCAAACCTATAGCTCAACTTATAAAGAAGGTTTAAGAGAGGGCTCTAACGGTGTTATCTCAGGTCTACCTGGGACAAGATATCAGGAGATCACTGAGTTTTACTCTCAGCTCACTGAGGTGTGCAGGTGGAATGATAGATAAGTGGAGATTTCTCTGCTGGTTACCCAGTTGGAGGATCCAGCTTCCACTGAGGAGTCCTAGGGTGCCCACTGGGGAGTTGCTCCAGCCACCCTCACTCAGTTGCTCTCTCAGCTTTCACAGGTTCCACACAACCAGATATCCTGTCTCCAGAAAAGAATCCAGCTGGGCCGGGGATTTAGCTCAGTAGTGCAGAGTGTGCCTTGCAAGCACAAGGTCCTGAGTTCCATCCCCGGTACAAAAAAAAAAAAAGAAAGAAAAGAAAAGAAAAGAAAAGAACGAATCCAGCTGCCTGTCTGGCCAACATCCCTACTGGCTTCAGTGGGGGATTAACCAGAAGATGCTAGGAAAAAGTGTCTGCTTTGATTTTTTTAGTTTTTCTTTGAGACAGGTTCTCACTTGTAGCTGAGATTGACCTGGAACTCACTATGTAGCCCGGGCTGGTCTTGAACTCACAGAAACCTGTCTGCTTTGACAGTGCCAGCTGCTCTAAGTGTGGTTAACAATCTGGCAGAGTAACCACTGTTTCTTAGAGTTCTATAGGGACAGATAAAGATTGTGTGTATGTGTATTTCCTAGATATAACACATTTTACAGCATTTTATAAATCCACATTTTTGGTTACTATCAAAGTCTACTACTAGGGGAATGCCAATGTTACTTTTCCCCAGTGCAGCTGTCTAAAATAAGACAAGAAGCCATCTCATAACCATCAAACAAGTCAAGCAGGAATGCAAGTAAATTCAGCAACTAGTAAGTCTAAATAAGGTGTAAAACCAAGAATACAAGACCTTGCCTGAAAAAATAAAATGTGGGCCGGAGATTTAGTTCAGTGATGCCTGCCTTGAAAGCACAAGGTCCTGAGTTTGATCCTAAATACCAAAAAAAAAAAAAAAAAAAAAAAAAGCCCATCAAAGAAACAAAATCTCAAGTTCCCCATGCACTCAACTTAAATGCATCACCATTTTAACAAAAAGACAAGATAGAAGTGACTGACAAACAAGAAGATAACAATTTCAATTACCTAAATGAGTCACAATCCAGAATTTAGTTGAAATATTTAGGGGTGCCATGAATAAAAGCAAACTCACAGCTCCTTCCAAAGATACTGGTAAGACCTCCAAGATGGTGTAGGGGGAAAATATGTAACTCTCAACCTGCTAGAGGTCAGGTATGCTGAGTTTGTGTTTTTCAAAGTTGAAGAATGAATGTTAAGGAACAACAGAGTTAAGAGTAGGAAAATTTATTGGGGAATAGGAATGAGGAATACGAATAGCTCCAAAAGGGCCAGGGATTTAGCTCAGTGGTTCCACCTCCTGCCTGGAGATGTGTCTCTAGCCAGTTTTTGATGTGTTTTTATCTTTTGCACTGACTCCCTTGAGGGCCTAGCTTTGTCTGACTGCCTATAATACTTTTATCTAATTAGTACAGAGGCAAATAATTCTCAGGACCCCTTCTGTGGAACTTCTCCAAAGTCCCCATGAGTTACGGACAGCATAAAAGAGAGGAGATGCCACGGAGAGCCCACAATCCTGACTTCCCAGCATACCCCTGCTGTGTTTCCCTGTGTTTTATCTTCTATTTTTGTTGTTCTTCCCAAGTCTGCTCTACAGAGCTGGTTTCATTCACTCTTCACGCGCCATCCACCCCCACCCCCCACCCACCCCCGGGATCAAACTCAGGACCTCGAACTAGCCAGGCAGGTGCTACACCACGGAGCTACATCCCCATCCCTTCTTCACTTTTCAAATAGTTTTTTGACACCGTTTTTTGGCTTGTGTTGTCCAATTTTTGTTCTAGGCAAGAAGAACCTGGAATACTTTTGATTGACGAGCCATTTTTTAGATAAACTACCTGAGAACAATCCTAGCCAAACAAGAGACTGAGGTTTGTGTGGAAACTTCAGAGACCTGCGCCTGCCTGGCAAACACAAGGTCCTGAGTTCCACCCCTGGTACTATAAAAAGTAAATAAAATAAAAAAGGGCTGGAGATGTAGTTCTGTGTTCTCTGGAATCAGTACCTAGTACCACAGTGGACAAAACCAGCAAGTTCCGAATGGTGGCACCAACTACTCAGGAGGCTGAAGCAAGATTGCTCCAGCCTAGGAGCTGGAAGCCGGTCCGGGTTCATAGTGAGACACCCATATCAAAAACAAATGAATATACTGGCCGCGAGGCTGACGCAGGAGGATCCCTGTGAGTTCGACATCTGCCTGGGCTACTTAGTGAGTTCCAGGTCAGTCTCAAGTACATTGAAACAAAAAAAAAAAACCAAAACCAAAACCAAAAATAAATGAATATAAAAAGAATAGTCCTCTTCCAAAGTTCTGAGGATTTAAAAGAAATCAGATGTATTAAGTCTTTAGCATAGTGTCTGACACATAAATGTGTGGCTGGGGTCAATGTTCCAGGTAAAGGGTTCAGGAAGTTTCTAGTATCTGCAGTCTGGAGGCCCAAGGTCCTCTGTGTTCGGGTTGCACACTGGGCCAAAATTTGCCTGAACCAAGGGGCCAATTTAGGTTAACGGACTCCAGCCAACCACACTCGGGAGAAAAAGGGCAGAGCCCAGAAGATCGAGCCACGTGGCACCCAAGCCCGCCCTCTCCAGGAAGTACCCGAGCTCCTGTAGCGCAGGCGCCATCGTACGTTGTGGAGCGGCCAGGGGTGTGGCCGAAACCCCCCCAAGACCACTCACTGGGCGGGCGGGAAGGCAAACTTGACTCGGCGCCGAGCCCTGGAGGCGGCGCCAGAGCCGGTTCAAATGGCTGCGGAGCACAGCCTGCTAGGCCTGGCGTCCAACCCCTTCCTCTCCTGCGGGCGATCCTGAGGGCCCGCTCCGCCCCTCTCTCGAGGTGGAGCTTCCTCTGCACCGCCAGACTTAAGCTGAGGCCGGTTGGGTTCCTAGCAGTTTGCAGAGCTAATCTTAGGCCGAGCGGTCCAGTCCACACTCTGTGCTCACGCTAAGGTGAGTTTTTCCTGCTGCTGGCTCATCTCCTTTCCGGGGGAGGTAGCCTCGATCTTTCAGGACTGCGGTTCGCCCCCCAACCCCGAGGGGTGGAGCAGGAGCGCAGATCCAGGAGGCCACCAGACTGGGCTTCCTCCTTTTCCTTGCGTGATCTCGGATAACTTCCCAGTTTATCAGAACCTCTTTGCTCGGCGGTGAAGTGAGAGGAACATCAACGCTGGAGCCGGAATTAAGAGAGTTAAAGCTTTGAGTGTGCCCGGCACATTAAAGGTGCTCTGTAAATTGTAGTTGCCATCTTTTTGTTTACTCACCTAGGATTTCCAGAGGGCTTCGGCTTTCCTTTGGAGGTGCAGGGATGTTTCTCGGAAGCGGCAGGAAGCGGGGAGGCACTTGTTCCGGAACTTGCCTTGGGTCTGGGGGAGCTACCTCTGAGACCTGTTAAATTGAGAATGGGTCTTAAACCTTCAGGGGACGGGACTGCTGTTAACTCTGGTTCAGACTATTCACACTCAAGGCTGCAGGAACTCCCTGGAAGAGCTTAGTTCTGGTCGGATCTGTTTTCCCACGTCTCAGATTCCTAATCTGTAGCACAGGTTTAATTTCAATACGATCCTGTTTGGTTCACTGGAATTTCTTTTCTTTTTTTTTCTTTTTTTGCCAAAGACAGTGAATGCAGAGGCTGGGGATGTAGCCCAGTGAAAGGAAATAGTTCAGGGGAGAGGTTTGGGTTCCATCCCCAGCTCACCCCCCATTTCCCCCAAAAAAGAAACTAACTTTTTTTTTAAGAGTAGGAAAATTTATTGAGAGAAAGAAAGCTTCTGACAGACAGAAGGGGGACGGGAAAGTGGGTTGCCTGCTCACCCAACTTCTCAAAGGTGTTTTATGGGAAAAAACCACGAGGTGAGGTGGGTTTAAAATATTCTCCACAGATAACTTTAGGTTTCTTAGGAAGTGAAGGAAGAAGGCGTTTTTTTGTTTGTTTTTTTTGGGGGGTAGTGGGGATTGAACTTGGGACCTTGTGCTTGTGAGGCAGGCCACAGAACTACTGAGCTAAATCCCTGGCCTTGGAAGAAGGTAATTTAGACAGTGATTTCCTCAAATGTTTCTTCAGCCTGGCATGGTTGTTCATGCCTGTCAATCCCACCACTCCTGTAAGACCGGCCTGAACTACACAGCAATACCTTGTCCCGCCCCACCCCCCAATATTTTTCCAGCTGAGGTCTCTCCCTCATTAACCTTGAGATGTGTGTGTGTTCCGACAAATGACCCAAGTTTGTGGGGGAAACCTTTATGTTAATCTATTTACTTTTTCAAGCAGGGTCTCACTGTGTAGTTTAGGCTGACTTGAACTCACTATGTAGCCCAGGCTGGCCTCAAACTCAGAGCCATCCCTCTGCCTCAGCCTCCCAAGTGCTGGGATTACAGGCATGGACCCCCACCCCCAGGTCTAGATAGCTTTTTAAAGCCCCCATGGATAGTAGTAGGAGCATATTGTCTTATTTGCTGTAACACTTGTTATCCAGGGCCTTGCTTGGGTCTCTGGTGAAATAGAATATACAGAAAGAGGAGATTGGGTTAGGCACTGTACAAAGTGCTTTAGATAGGTTCTGTTTCTCACCCCTCTACATACTTGCAGAAGATTGCACATGGTAGGCAAGTGAGGTACACAGAGCTACATCCTTGGACTTTTTTCATTTTATTTACTTATGCATGCAGTACTGGAGATTGAACCCAGGGTCTTAGCACATCCCAAGCCCTTTCCTTTTTTTTTTTTCTCTTTTCTCTTTTGGTACCAGGGATTGAACTCAGGACCTTGTGCTGCCACTGACCCCAGCCCCCAAGCCCTTTTCTTATTTTTTATCCTGAGACGGGGTCTTTCTTGCTAAGTTGCCCAGGCTGGGCTTGAACTTGCCATGCTCCTACCTCAGCTTCCCAAGCAGCTGGGATTGCAGGCCTGTGCCCCTGTACCCGGCGTTAGCTATAGTGTCTCTTGAAAATAGTGGAGCTGAGAGTCAGCCCGAGTCTGTGGAGCCCTAGAGCCTGAATTGTTTCCTCTGCACTCTACTGCTGAATCTCATGAGCACAGTTGTAGACTTACTGACACCGTGTGGACTTGCTGGGTTGAAGCCCAGAGAGAGCCTAATATACAACTAGGGTGGGAAAAATCAGAGTTTAAGGTAATAACTGAAGATATAAACTTGCCTAGGAAGTGAGAAGAAAACTGGGCCCCAAACCCCGAGGGGCACCATCATTTGTCAAGGTGGAGGAAAGACCCATGTGGCCTGGAAACATCCATGCAAATACTATTTCCCCCTTGTCCTGAGTTCCTTTGATTCTTCCTTTGAGAAGAGAGTATGGGGATTTAGCTGAGTGCCTCACAAGCACAAGGACCTGAGTTTGATCCCCGGTACCAAAAAAAAGGGAATACTGAATTCCAAAGAGAAGGAACCACCCCAGTGTGGTGCCACATGCCTGTAATCCCTGCACTGCAGGAGGCTGAGGCAGGAGGATTGCCATAAACCGGAGGCCAGCCTGGACTATGTAGTGAGACCCTGTCTCAAAACAAAACAGAAAGGACTAGGGAAGGGCTGGGGATTTAGCTCAGTGGTTCTGCTGCCTGCCTCACAAGCTCAAGGACCTAAGTTCAATCACCGGTACTTAAAAAAAACAAAAACAAAAAGGGCCAGGGATTTAGTTCAGTGACACCGCACCCAGCTCACTGGGGCAAAGTCCGGAGTTCCATCCCTGGTACCCCCCCCACCCTATCAAAACAAAAAGCAAAGAAGCCAAGTTGCTGAATGGGAATAATAAACATAGAGTCCGGAAAATTTTCCCATCTCCCCACCACACCTACGCCCCGCCTCTCTTTCACACTCAAGAATAATAGGATTTAAGCGTGCTGCTACAGATCCAGTTAGATGTTTCCTAAGAAGTGTAGAGCCTGGAGTCTGTTAATGCTGGGCTAGGCTGAAGGGCCATTGCTTTAGGCAGAGATCAGGAAGTCACAGTTGGCTGAGGATGACTGTTTTGTGGCCCCTCCATTCCTCAGCACGGAGTTCTTTTTTTTTTTTTTTTTTTTTTTTGTACCGGGGATTGAACTCGGGTCCGCAGGCCACCGAACCGCTGAGCTAAATCCCCGGCCAGCACGGAGTTCTTGATCTTTGCAGATCTGTTAGGTCTTCCCTCCTCTTTCATCCCCACCCCTCCCTCAAGCCCAGCCCCCTTGGGTTTTCAGTTTCACTTACAAAAAAGAAAGGGCAGAAACAAGACTCAAGTTTCTTTGTTTTCCCAGTCAGCGAGGCTTTTATTCATGTTCCTACCCCAGGTGTAATTGAGAGCCCTCTCGGGCGTACTGGGAGCTCTGGGAGAGGCCATCAGTTTATGGTTTGGGCATCAAGCCCAGGAAATCGTCCAGAGACCCTGGTGCAGTGGGCCACAGGATACCTCTGTGAAGTCCAGACATGCTTCCTTGATCCCTGGGAAATTTCGGTTACAAAGACTGTTGCCCTCGACAGTCTGTGGTTTGTTGCCTGTGTTGAAGAGTTTTGTTTTTGTTTTAGCGGAAAGAAGTGGTTTCCAATGACCAGGTTATATTAGACTATAAATTTCTTTCTGGGTAAGAAGTATTAGGAAAGTCATTTTTGGTGTATAATTTGTGTTATTACCTCCTCCACCTTCTTTCAAAACTTGAAAGCGAAGGTCATATTTATAAAGGAATTGTTGGCAATGAAATCAGTGCCAGGAGAGTTCATATTTATGGTACTGATAAGATGAAGAGGAAAGGTTATTTCTCTTTCATTGCCTCTTCAGGTGAATGTTTTTTTCTCCTTTCTTAGATAACTGTTTGTTTTTGTTTTTGTTTTGATACGGGGATGAAACTTGGGGCCCTTGCACTTGCAAGGCAGGTGGTGGAACCACTGAGCCAAGTCCCCAACCCTGTTCTTTGTTTTTTTTTTTTTTTTTGAGACAGGGTCTCGTTTTGTAGTGCAGGCTGACCTGGAACTCACTATGTAGCCCAGCCTGGCCTTGAACCTACCACTATCCTCCTGCCTCAGCCTCCTGAGTGCTGGGATTACAGGTGTGCACCACCACACCAGCTTGTTCATTCTTTTTGTTTGTTTGTTTTTGTTTTTTTGAGACAGGGTCTCACTATGTCGTTGAGACTGAGCTGGAACTCACTATGTACCCCAGGCTGGTTTCAAACTCACAGAGATCCTCACAGTGAGTTCCAGAGCAATCTGAACTACATAGTGAGACCTTGTCTCAAACAAACAAACAAAATATATATATAGAGAGCTGGAGATGTCTTTCAGTATGAAAGCCCTAGGTTTAATCTCCAATACTGGGGGTGGGGGAGCCAACAGCAATATTCCTTGGGCTTGCCTTATGGAATTTATTTCCCTTTTTGTAGTACATCATGCACATATATTTTTATAGGTCTGTATTTACCTGTCTCTATTAGCTCCTTCTTGGATCTTTGGTTTGGCCACCTCTTAGCTGTTGATTTGGGGAAAGTAACTTCACTATTCTGAGACTTTTTCTCATCCAGAAAATGGTAAGTGGTGTACTTCCTGGTATGAGCGCGCTCAGGCCTCCCAGCTTGCTTAATCCAATCTCTGCATGAATGGGAGGGTCTGGTATCTTAATCTGCTGGGTACATTCATTTCATCCGCAGAGCAGTGGCTCTTTTCTGGGCCTATTCTGTCTCCTGGTCTGTCTCATCATGGCCTTTGCCTGTTTTACACTGGCTTAAGACGTATTTAGTAAAGGCTGCTGGTTCTGGGAGTCACCTTGCCTTGGCGTTTTAAATAGAGGAGCTCTTCCTATTTTTGTTCTTGTTCTTCAGTGTTAGGGATTGAACCCAGGGCTTGTGCATGCTAGGCCAGATCTGTACCATTGAACTATATACCCAGCACCAGATACTGGAGCTCTTTAACGCAGACCTTTAGCCTGGTGAAAGAAAAGAGAGGCAAGCCTAGTGATTCTGGTTAGCGTTTGTCTGGGAGCTACTGGCTTTGGCTAGTTTCGGACACCTTTCCTCTCTCTGTGCACACAGGTACATGACCACATGTTTGTTCCCCACATGTTGCACCTGCCCTCTTCCTGACCTGTGTTTTGCAGGGTTCTTGATCAGTGGATGATTTAAGGTTCAGGGATTAGCACTGAGTCTCTCATCATTCTCTTGCCATCTGTGTTTTAGGGGGCGATGGCGGCTTCCTGTGTCCTCCTGCACACCGGGCAGAAGATGCCCCTGATTGGTCTGGGTACCTGGAAAAGTGAGCCTGGTCAGGTGAGGGATGGGCGTGGGGAGAGAAGACTTCCTGAGCCTCTGCCAGGAACAAGGTGGGATTTGGGAAAGGGGGCCCTGCCCCTGTGCTCTGCTTTTGGTGAAGATCAGCCTGGAGGGTATGGGAAAGATGTGAGACGGAGAACAGTGAGCAGAACAGTGAGCGGGTGGCTTCCCCTGGATGACTGGGGAAGAACAAAAGGGTCCAGCAGGGCCAAGGGCAGAGGAAGGATACTTTTCTTTAACTGAATCTGCACTGAGGGCTGTGGCAGACATGGGTCCTCTCTGTGCTATGAGTCTTAATGTGATACTTAGCACCCTGTGCTGTGATCTTGTCTCCTCTCCCACAGTGGGCCCCTTGAGGACCAACCCCCTTCCATTGCACTGTCCAGAGGCAGGCACACAGCAGGTGTCAAGTTTTGAAGAATTACTGGGTGAACTGTGTAGACCAAGGATCAGCATTTTTTTTTTCACTTTTTCTTAATGAACCAGATGGTTAATATTTTAGATTTTGCTGGACAAGTTTCCAAACAAAGGTGATTCTGTTCTTATATAACCATTTAGTAGGGAACCACTTTAAAAATGTAGAAGCCATAGCTGGATGTGGTGGCTCCTGCCTGTAGTCACAGCCACTTGGGGGCTTGAGGCAGGAAGATCAAGAGTTCAAGGCTAAACAACAAGGCACCCATCTCCAAAAAAAAAAATGTGTATTACGTTTGTGCAAGCCTTTCTTAGCTCTAGGGCTTAAAAAAAAAGAGTTGATAGTTTACTGACCCTGGTTAACCCTCCCAGCGAGAGGGACCTGGAACGGAGACCTGCTCTCTGAGGGTTGACGTAGTTATGAGATTCAGCTCCCACCTGGGTGAGGCATTTACCCAGGCCTCCTTTACTGTTCCTCGAAAATCTAGTCAGAGTTAAGGCAAGTGTGGGGCTTATGCTGGGGAGAGCAGCTTCTTCTGTGTGAGATACACCCTGGTGTTTTCGGTGTAGTTGAGTGCTGTCTCTTTTCACTTTTGCTTCCCTTTCCATGGCTGCCTAGGTCCCCGGAGCCAGGGTTCCTATTCTTTGGGCAGACACTTAACACAACCTAGGGACAGGAGATGGGTAAAGGTAGGGGCGTAGAACGACAGGGGTCTGGTGGGGTTGGTGGTAGGGGAAATACATCAGGGTAGGAAGAGCTGCACTCAGTTGGAGATCTGGAATGCTGCAGCAAGGACCCACAGTCAGAGTTTTGGGTGCTTTGTGGACCTTGCTTCTGCATCTGATGCTTCTTTCTTTCTTTCTTTCTTTTTTTTTGAGACAGGGTCTCACTATATAGTTGAGTGCTGGGATTACAGGCGTGTGCCACCATGCCTGGCCTTGATGTCATGTTTCTTAGTCTGGTTTTAAGCAAATGGACTGACCCATCCTACATTTGATGTTTTATGCTTGCTTTTTTTTTTTTTTTTTTTTTTTTTTTTTTTTCTTTTTTTTTTCCCTCT